ACTGAGCGGCCATCAGACAGCAGGGCCTTTTCCTCACTGCCAGTCTGGGCTGGGTTCCAGACAGGCACCAAGAGGTGAAAGGCTCTGGTGCCCAGGAGCAATCCCTTGAGTCACCTGCTCCTCTGGGTGCAGCTTTACCGGGTGGCTCTGAAATCAATGCAAGTTAGGTTTCAGAGTAACAGCCGTGTTAGTCTGTATTCGCAAAAAGAAAAGGAGTACTTGTGGCACCTTAGAGACTAACCAATTTATTTGAGCATGAGCTTTCATGAGCTGCATCCGATGAAGTGAGCTGTAGCTCATGAAAGCTCATGCTCAAATAAATTAGTCTCTAAGGTGCCACAAGTCCTCCTTTTTCTCAATGTAAGTTAGGGGCCTAAATACCTTTGAGGATCTGGGCCTAAGAAAGGGGGGGGGTGGAAGGCCGGGGGTGGGGGGAAGGCTTGTTGTCCTTCGGCTGGATTCAAATCAGCCATTAGGTCACTGCCGAAACTGAGTTTGGGGGCCTGATCCCTACACCTCCTACCACACTGGCTAATGTGAATCAGCCACTTCCCCCAGAGCCCCAAGCCTGGACAGCCCAGGCTGGACATGGGCAGAGCTGTGTGAGAGCCCTGGACTGCGGGGTCAGACTGCTGGCCTGGTCGGTTGGCGGAGGGTGGAGAGAGAGGAATGCCACGGCCCCCTCGGTTCCCATACAGCCCCCATCGCTCCAGGGGCCATGCCACGGAGCACTGAGCAGGCATCTCACCGGTGGGTCGTTGCATTACAGATTTTGGGTTTGCCAACCGCTACTCCTTGAAGAATTCCCTGATGAGCACGTTCTGCGGCTCTGTGGCCTACACGGCCCCCGAAATCCTCATGAGCAAGAAGTACAACGGAGAGCTGGCTGACCTGTGGAGCCTGTGAGCGCCACGTCTCCTGCGGGGAGGGACATGGCCTGCGGGAACTCCGGCCTGGAGGGAGCAGGGAGAGGAGTCAGTCACTTCCTGACACTGCGAGTACCACGAGGGAGGGGCGGGGTGGAGCCGGCTGCACCGTGGGGTCCGTTAGCACTGTGTAGTGGGGGACGAGGGGGCTGCCCGCAGGGGGGTGAGAGCACCAGGGCCCCCGATGGCCAACACCCTGGGGTTTGAACCGGGGGAGCTGCTGGAACGCTCCGTAGCCAGGGCCGTGCCAGCTGCTGTTCTCTGCGGATGGGCGCAGACGGGCCCAAGCCACGCTCACCGGTACGCTACGGGGAGGGCAGCGCAGGCTGCCCCGTGAGGACCGGCTGCTGGGAGCTGCCGTGGGCCATGCAGCCCACGCCCTGTCCCTGGGGAGGCTGGGCCTGGTGTCCTGACCCCCGGCCTCCTCCCGCAGCGGTGTGATCCTGTACGCCATGGTGACCGGGAAGCTGCCCTTCAAAGAGCGCCAGCCTCACAAGATGATCCACATGATAAAACAGGGCCTCTGCTTCCGGCAGCCCGTCTCCCCAGGTAACCCCCGCGCCTGCCCCCGGAGAGCCGCAAGCCCTGCTGCCCCCGCGGGGGTCCCCGAGCAGCCAGGCGGGGAAGGGGACGAGAGCAGCGTGGCGGCCAAGTGCCAGGCTTTGTGGAGAATCAGCAGAGCCGGGGCAAGGAACGGGCCGCGCCCCCCTTTGCCCCACGGCTCCTGCTTTGCGCTGAGGAGCGAGGGCCGCCCCCCGCAAGCCCTGCCCCAGGCCGACTCCAGCCCCACCGGCCTGGAGAGCAGGGAGGGAAAAGCCAGCCAGCGCGCGCGGGGTTGGCTGAGGGCCCACGGAGCCCAGCACTCTGCATAGGGCACCAGTGATCCTGCCCCACGCCGGCAGGGAGGCCGCCCTGCCAAGCCGCGGGGCAGGTCCGGCCGTCAGTCTTCAGCCCCTCTCTTTGCTGCCAGAGTGCCAGAACCTGATCCAAGGCCTGCTGCAGCTGAAGCCTGGGGCCCGGCTGGGCTTGCAGCAGGTGGCCACGCACTGCTGGATGCTGCCCGCCACCTCGGCCATCTTCCACCAGGCGCTGAACGCCACGGGCAGGCCCCCGGAGCTCGGCCCAGCCCTGGAGAAGCCGTCCGCCCAAGGTACGTGCGCGCCCTGCCCCAGCTCTGCCTTCAGGGCACCCCACAGCTGAGGGCACGGGGGGAGCGCTGGGCTGAGCACAGCAGGGAGTGGCCTCGCCCGTGCCAGGTCTGGCTCTGGGATGAGCCAAGGAGCCCCAGGCCAGGAGTAGCTCCCCTTGGGGGCTCAGCCCCCACCTCCAGGAGCCAGCAGCACCCCAGCCCCACATCTGAACTGAGCACTGCTGCCCAGCGGTGTCCCTGCCCCAAAGAAAAGAGCTGCCCCCCTGAACAGCCCCTCAGCTAGAAGCACCAGGAGTACCCCGGTCACCCTTTCCCTGGGAACCCCGCAGGACCTCACCCCACCGCTGGGGGAACATGGCCCCGGCCCCCCTCCCTTGGGTACCCTGCAGGACCTTGCCCCCCAGCTGGGGAAACATGGCATCAGCCCCTCCCCTGGGCACCCCATGGCTGGGGGAACACAGCACCAGCCCCCAGTCCTCCCCGGGCACCCCACTGAACATAGCCCCACAGCTGGGGAAATGTGACACCAGCCCCCTGCCCCTCCCTCCGCACCCCACCCCACCGGACCTCACCTAGCAGCCAGGGGAACATGGCACCAGCCCCCTATCCCTCCCCTTGGGCACCCCGCAGGACCTCGCCTGGCAGCTGGGGGAACGTGACACCGGCCCCCTGCCCCTCTGCACCCCGCAGGACCTTGCCCGGTAGCCTGGGGAATGTGACACTGGCCCTCCACAGGACATAGCCCCACGGCCAGGGGAACACAGCACCAGGCCCCATCCCTCCCTTGGGCACCCCACAGGACATAGCCCCACGTCCGGGGGAACATGGCACCAGCCCCTCTATCCCTGCTACTTCCTTTGCAGGTGAGAGCGGAGGCTCCGTCTCTGTCTCTTTGCTGCCAGACCTGGAGAGCTCGGCCAAGCTTCCCGAGGGAGCCGCCAAGGGAACCAAAGCCCCAGCAGGCCCTCGCGCCTCCTCTGCTCAGGACTCCTTCCCTGGCCGAGCCGAGATGGAAGCCAAGGCCCCCGAGCTGATCTCTGCCGGCTGCCTCCTTCAGCTGCCGTCGCCGTGCCAGGCTGAGCGCCCTCCCCGATTCTCCCTGTACCGGCCCTGCCTGCTCTCCAGCCTCCGGCCCTTCCACCACCTCCCCAACTTCCGCAAGCCCGGCTCAGCCACCTCGGCCAGCACCTACGTAGCCAGCCAGCGGCTGGGCGAGAAGAGCCCCGCTGTGGCAGCAGCGGTGGGCAGCAGCTCCTCCAAGCCAGTCATCTCCCTCCACTCCATGTCCATGATCCGGAAGCCCCCGTCAGAGCCCATCACCAACTAGAGGGGGCCTCGCCCAGGGCCAGACCAGAGCCGCCACCGCTTGGCCCTACCCTGACAGAAACAAAGCCCGTACGGACGGGTGCAGCACGCACTATTAAATGTTATTCAGTCGCGGGCTCTCAGCTGTCCCCCTCTGGGCTCCCTCTAGGCCCCGTACTCGGCAGCAGCCGGGTCCCAGCTTGCCCCAGACCCGTGTCCCCAAGGCCTGACTCCTCGTTCCTCTATGCGCCCCTGCCTCTCCCCCAGGCCTCTCCTAGCCATGGCTACACACAGCCTCTCTCCTCCCATCCCCACCGGGGCCTTTCTTCTCCAGCCACCCTCCCCACCGGTCCCTCTCCTGGAGCCACAGACTGGCACCCTCGGCACAGTCTGCGCAGGGAGCAGCTCAGGCCATATACACAGAGCAGAGGGGTGAGAACTTGGGGAGAGGAACCCAGCCACAGGGCCTGGACCCCTTGGTGATGGGCATCCTGGAACGGGACTCCGGGGGACCTGCTGCCGTGAAGGTGGTGCCGAGGAAAACACCCTGCTGGGGCAGAGGGAGGCGTGGGCCCTGCCAGCACCGAGACAGAAGCAGTGACGCACTAGGCCTCGCCAGTCTTATGGGGGGCTGGAGAGTCCTGCAGCTCCTCCCATTCACAGGCCAGACCACTGAGCCGGGGCCCACCCCTCCATACCCCCCAAGCTCCACTTGAGGCTGGAGCGAGATGGGGTGGTTCATGTCCCCTTTACAGCCCCCCCAACCTCAGGGGCAGGCTCAAGGCAGCGCTGACTTCCAGCCAGCTGGCTGCAGGCCCCAGGGCCATGCCCGGACGCTGGGGGACACAGAGCCGCTGTGCCAGGTGTCACGGAGTGCAGGGGAGTCCGGGGCCTGCCCCCTCTTCCTGGGATTCACTGCGACTCTCAGCCACCCAGTAAAACGGAAGGTTTATTGGACAATAGGAACACAGTCCAAAACAGAGCTTGTGGGTACAACCAGGACCCCTCAGTCAAGTCCTTCTGTGGGGCAGGGAGCTTAGACCCTAGCCCTGGGGTTCCCTGCGTTCCACCACCCAGCACCAAACTGAAACCAAACCACCACCCCCCAGCAGGCTCTCTCCTGCAGCCTTTGTCCAGTTTCCGGGGCAGAGGTGTTACCTCCCCCTCCCCATCCCGGCTCAGGTTACAGGCTCTCAGGTCTCCCATCCCCAGTGAAACTCCCCTGCCACATTCCCAGGTCAACACTCCCCCTGCCCTGCTGCGTCACACCAGGGTCTTTCAGGCAGGAGACAACACACGTGGGGCAGTTGGGGTGTCCGGCCTCTCAAGTATATTTAACAGCTAAGAACAGGACCCAGCTGTCACGGAGTCCCTGGGCGATGCTCTGGAACTGCTCCCCATGAAGCCAGTCAGGACTCTGGGGCAGTCGCCTTTCTGTGAGCAGCCTGTCTGCAGGACACACAGCTCACCCAGCTTCCACCTTCCTGGGTCTGACCTCGGAGCATTCAGCATCCTCTGCCCCTCCGTGCGCTTCCCACAGCGAGTACGCCCAGGAGGGGTCCTGGGGAAGCCAGAGGGTCCTGCACCCCAACTTCGCAGTCAGACGTGACTCTCAGCCAGCCAGTAAAACAGAAGGTTTATTAGATGACAGGAACATGGTCAAACAGAGCTTGTAGGTGCAGAGAACGGGACCCCTCAGCTGGGTCCATTTTGGGGGGCAGTGAGCCAGACAACCACGTCTGCACTTCACTCCATGTCCCAGCCAGCCCCAAACTGAAAACCCCCTCCAGCCCCTCCTCCTCTGGGCTTTGTTCCTTTCCCGGGCCAGGTGGTCACCTGATTCCTTTGTTCTCCAACCCTTCAGCTCTCACCTTGCAGGGGGGAAGGGCCCAGGCCATCAGTTGCCAGGAAACAGGGTGTTGGCCATTCTCTGTGTCCAGACTCCTGCACACACCTGCCCTCTAGGGCTCTGCAATGATCATACACCCTTACTCCACCCCCTAGATACTTAAGAACTGCCTGGGGGAAACTGAGGCACCCCCCCACTATTCAGAGGAAACATTAAGAACAGTCCCACTTCGTCACACCAGCCCAAAGCCACTGTCCAGCTCCTGCCTCCCAGCGCCTGGCTCTGCCTCCCCATCCTCCCCCCATCTGGAATTAAATGCTGTTCCGCGGGCTCAGCGTCCATCTCCCCCTCGCTAGAGACACAGCCCGTGCCCCGGCAGGGCTGGAAGCAGCCTCCCAGAGGCACCAGGCCAGGTTCACCTGTGTGGACACCGCTCAGCATGTGCACCTGCCCGTTCAGGATGGGGGGCTGGCACAAAGCTGGGTGCAGGCGAGAATCTCAGGCCACAGCCCAGGCAGCCGCCCACCGCCATTCCTCTGAGCCACGCTGATGGCAGGGGGCAGCCCCACAGCCGGGGAGCAGCATCACTTTGTGTGCGCACCACCACCTCCCACTGAGCCCCAGCCCTGCCCTGCCGAGCAGCCCCCCTTTGCCAGCATTGCTGCACTGTGCAAGGGGGAGCCCTGGCCCTCCCGAGCCTGGCTGAGACCCCCCCAATTCATCTTGCCTGGGTCAGGCAGTGGCAACTGATGTGGGCTGGAGCGAAACAAGGAACCTCAAGGGAAGGAGCTCCCAGTCCCAGTCCCCTCTTGCTGCTCCAGAGCCACCAGGCTGAGCTGGGAGCTGCCGTCTCTACAGGGCTCGCAAGGGTGGCTGCAGCCGGCTCCGTTTGGTCCGGCTGGGCGTGGCTCCCACGACGGCTGGCAGGTCGCAGCCCTCAGCTGGGCAGAGTCCGAGCGCTCCCCGCTGCCGGGGCAGGACAAGCCGGTCAGCAAGTCACCTCGACAGCCCCTGGGAGCCCATCTGCGCCCCAGGCCCCTCGCTCTGCATCTCCTGCTGCCGCTCCTCCTCCCGATCCAGGCGCTGCAGTTGCTCCTCCACGTCCTCGGGGATCTTCACCTCCAGCAGGTTCTCCATTCCGGCCTCAGGCTCATCCCCAATCAGCACCTGCCCAGGGCACAGCATCAGGGCTTCAGAGGGGAAACTAGCCACTGCTCCCTACCCACACTGACCCCCCTCTCCGCCGGGCAGAACTCACTGTGCAGTATGACTGCACCACCAGGCAGCAGCATCGAGCCCCTGATTGTCTGCATTTGCCCGGCAGAGACCGGACCCCACCCTGGAGTTTAATAGAGGGGGAGCCCCCAAAGACCCCAACCTGGGTGGGACCCATTTGCCCAAGCCCCCTGCCCTCCAGATGCTGAGCCACATGGACACGATGGGCCTCTGCCCCTACCTGGATCAGCTTCTCGCAGGCAGCCAGGACATCGGGCTCCGTCTCCCACTGGTGGAGCTCCCGCACGACCAGGTAGGTGCCCTTCTCCTTCACCAGCTGCCGGCCGGCCTTGGTGGCTGTGAGCTGCGTGGGAAGCAAGCCAGGGGGAGGGGCCAGGCCACGGATCAGACCCAGCCACAGCCAGCGTGGGCAGCACAGGAGGAGCAGCATAGGCCAGGCCAGCCCCAGCTGTTTCAGAGGGAGGCCAGGCCCACCCTGCGGTGGGCAGTTGTGGGGAAGCCTCTTCTTAGCCCCATCAGAGAGTGGTCGGCTGCTGCCCTGCAAGAGCAGGGGTCCTAACCCTCCACTGTAAGTGAGGCTGGGGATCCTCAGAGCAGGGAGGGTTGCACGGATAGGGGGCAGCAGCAGGTGGGAGGGGGTGTGGGGGGCCCTGCTGCAGGAAAGGGGGCATCTGCAAAGCAACCCTCTCTGCCCCAGCCTCTTGTCCCCCCGCCCCGTGCTCCCCTCCCCCAGTGTTCTACAGCGACACAGGGAGGGACCCACCAGCAAGACTGCCTCCAGCAGCATCTTCCGGATGTCGGGGTCCTTCTCCCGCTGCTTGTCCTGCGGCAGGTACTGCAGGTCCACGGGCAGCCCTGGGGCAGAGCCAGGCAGGGGCATTAGAACAGGACAGGGGATTTAACAGGGCACACAGATCTACAGGCTCCTGCCAGAAAATTGCAGCAACCCCCCCCCCCAGTCACTTTACCACCCCACAGCAGAGGGGAAATGAGAGCAGAAAACAACTAAATTCTTTGTTCCTGGCTGCACAACTCTGCCACTGCTAGACCCCCCGCCCAAACAGTAGTCCCCAGAGCCCCCCTCCCAGCATCCCCTCTCCTCACTTTCCATTTCCGCTTCAGGGAATTCCTCAGGGCCCGCCAACGGCAGCAGGAGAAAGGGGAGCAGGTCCACCTCAGCGCCTAGTAACCACTCATGGTACTCTGGGAACAGACACAGGTTGGGATTAGAAGAGGGGGCAGAAATCACCAGGAGGTGCGGAGTAACAGGGGGGCCCTACAGTGAACCCACCAGACTGCCTGGCAAGAGCCAGACAGGAAACTTCATGGGTCACACGGGGGCGCTGGCGAGCAAAAGCACAAAACACCCCGCCAGTTCCTCTGGGGAGGGAAGGGACAGGCAAACCATGACTGGGGCCTGTTTGTGCTGGGGAGCCAGAGGCCAGGCCTGGGCACTGAAGCTAGAGGTCCACATGGTGGGGCAGAGCCCTGAGCTCTAGGGCACAGGCTGGTTCAGGAACCAGCTGATACCAAGAAGTCCCCTCAGGGCTCGGCCGAGGCAACGAAGTCAGCAGGATCCCAGGAGCGAGGGACACTAAGTGCTCCCCCAAATGTAAAACACTTACTGTACTCGAAGCAGCAGTTCCTGAGCGTCCCAATCACCCCCCCTCGGCGGATGGCGGAGGCCTCGTACTGCGTGTAGGGCAGCAGCCGCTGCACCACGCACCTGGGCAGAGGAGGGGCTCTTGTCAGAGATGGGCCGGCACACGCTGGGCCCTGGCGCATGCATGCCCTGGGGCACTGCAGAGCTGCGGTAGCCACGTCAGTCCCAGGACATTAGAGAGACGAGGTGGGGGAGGGAATATCTTCAACTGGGCCAGCTTCTGCTGGGGAGAGAGCCCCGCTTTCGAGCTACCCAGAGCTTCTCGCCAGCAGAAGACACGACCTCCCTCCAACCTTGTCTCCATTACACCAATGGACTAACAGTCCGACCTGGGGCAGCCCTGACCCCACGATTCTCCCGCCCGCCACCACGTTCCCAGCTGGCAGGCCAGCACCCACCTGGATCTGTCCAGCAGGAACTCCCGGGTCTCCGGCAGCTGACTCAGATTGGAGAGCAGGGGGCCCAGGTAGTGCAGGGCTGCCTTCTTGTTGTAGCCTTCGGTGCAGAACGCCTCCAGGACCTGGGCCAGCCCCAGCCCCTCCTCCTGCACGGCCCGGAAAACCTGGCGGCAGGTGGCCTCCTCCCGGGACAGGTTGGAGAGGAGGGTGCAGACCTGGTCGGCGAAGGCGTAGCCCGGGTCCAGCAGGCGGTGCAGCAGCGCTGGCAGCCCCTTGGCCAGGGCCCCGTGGGTGGCCGCAGCCACAGACAGGTTGATGAGCGAGTGGTAACTGTCCTTCACCACGGCCAAGGAGCGGTCGCCCGTCAGCAGCAGCAGAGCCTCCAGGAAATCCGGCCTGCCCGCCAGCAGCATCCGCCCCTCCACGCTGCCCGTCAGCCCCAGGATGTAGCCTGTGGCCTGGCCCTTTATATCAGGCCGGGTGTCCAGGTGGAGGAACCCCAGCAGCTCTCTGGCCTGCCCCTCGTCCATGCTGGGGCAGGAGGCCTGGAGGCACCACCCTGCAGACAGAGGGACCTGTCAGGTGGGTGTAAGGAGACTGTGGGCCCCTCATTAACACTCAGTGGGGGTTTTGGTTGCTAGCTCCCAGGGCCAGAGGAAAGGGGAAGCGTGGATGGGAAATCAGGACCCTGAGACTGACAGCCCCCAGGAACAACGGGGAGAGGCCAAAGCTTCAGGTCAGCCTGACCGACAGGGCGGGCAGGCGAATGAGGGGGTCAGGAGGCCAGGGGGTCCCCATCTTCCCTGTGAGCTGAAATTGCCTGGCCACAGCAGAGCAAGCCAGGGAAGGAGAGAGCAGGAGCCTGAGCTGAGCTGGGGAGCAGAGCCGGGCGGGGAGCAGAGCCGGGCTAGCCAGAGAGAACCAGCCCAGGCAGCGGATCCGTGCTGGGAGCAGAGCCGGGCCAGCCAGAGGGGCCAGAAGCGCAGCCCAGGGAGCTGGAGGCAGAGGGCTGGGGCGGCCGGGCTGGGGCTGGGGCGGGGGCGGCCGGGCTGGGGCTGGGGCGGCCGGGCGGGGGGGCGGTTTCCAGAGAAAGGTTCAGCCCCGTAAGGCGCCGCCGCCGCCCAGCCGGGGCCTGGGGCTCGGGGCGGGTTTTCCTGCCCCCGGGTCCCGCTGGCTGGCGGAGACCCCGCTCCCTGCTGAATAGGCTGCCCGCGCTTTGAGCCGCCTGCGCGGGGCAGGGCAGAGCCCCCTGGGAGCGCCCCTGCGCCAGAGCGGGGGGGCGGGGAGGGCTCGGGGTGGGGGGGCCAGGAAAGCCCCCACCCCCCCAAGCGGCACCTGCAAGGGCCCGGCCCGGCGCCCCGGGACCCAGGAGTCCTGGCTCGGGGCCCCGCTGCGCGTCACCCAGAGGCCAGCGCGATGGCCGGGCCGGGCCGGGCCGAGCCGAGCCGAGCCGGGCCGGGCCGAGCCGCGGGCCTGCCCCCCCCCTTGCCGGCCGCCGGACCTCGGCTTCTCGCCGCCGCGTGGGCCTTCTCCGGGCACGGGGAGTCCGCTCCGCTCCTCGCCGGACTGACGCGCTCTCTGGCCAATCGCTGGCTGCGGTGACCCAAGGGGGGCGGGCAAGAGGCGAGTACCCGGAGGCTGGGGCCCAATCAGCGGCGCCTCGGACGGCATCGCGGCGGAGGGGATTCTGGGGGTTGTAGTCACACGGGGATGCTTCTGCGCATGCCAAGCCGGAGGCCCCGCCCGGGGCCCCGCCCACGCCCCCTCAGAGCCCCGCCTCCGGCCGGGTTCCTAGCGATCGGTTTCGATTTCAGGCAACGGAGCGAGCGGGCCGGCGCCCGCGGGGTCCTAGTGCCCGCCCTCACACCGCCCAGGCGGCGCCCGCGGGGTCCTAGCGCCCGCTTGTTCCCTCCCCGGCCGGCGTCCGCGGGGTCCTAGTGCCCTGGTCCGAGCCCGTGCTCCACACAGACCCTCTCCCGGGAGACCCCTGCGGCTGAGCTGGGCCGGGGGGCGCCGACTGGGGCACTGCAGAGACGGGGCAGGGCTGTGGGGGGCTCAGGGGGCCCAGCAGGCTTGGGGCCTGAGGCTGCCTTGCTCCACAGCACCTGCTGGCAGCGGCTGGGTCAGTGCAACCGGGGAAGGGCTGGCTGTGACCTGCTGTGAGGCAGCGCCCTGTGAGGGCACCACGCTGCCCCTTCTTCCAGACTCTGCCCCTGTCCTGCAGGCTGCCCCGGGCGTGCCATGCCCATGCCTCAGTTTCCCCTCCTGTCCCGTGTCTCTCTTGTCTCAGGCTGTGAGCACTCTGGGGCAGGGACGGACTCTCCTGGTGTCTGTGCACAGCAGGGCCCTGGTCTGGGTTGTGGCTTCTAGGTGCTACTGCCGTGCAAACAGCAGCGAACCCCCTGGCCCCGGGGATGAGCTGGGCAGTTCAGTCCTGTCAGAGCTACTGCTGCAGGCCGGCTTCGCCACATTCCCCAGCCTGCTGTGAAATGAGGGGGTTGAGTCCACAGTAGTTAATGGCTAATGCCAGCGGGAGCAAAAACCGAACTGCAGCCCACCAGGGCAGGGACAGAGCCCAGTTCTGCTCTGCAGCATGTCTCACCCAGCCACCGAGTTCCCTGCAGTCCTGCCTTTGTGCAGTGCCCAGCACCACGGCCCTACACCTCCGCAGCTGCTGCCTCGACTTTCATTGTCCCTCTTGTTTTCAAAACAAGGGAAGTTCACGGGAAAAGCCTCACCCCCAAAGCCAGCCCGACCCGAGAGCCAGTTCAGGGAGGAATGTCACCCCACCAAGTCCGGCAGTGGCCAGGTTAGGGCTCCTCCCGCAGCGCTAACACGGCAGCAGGAGCTGCTGGTAAATGCCAAGCTGCACACTGAGTCTGTTCACTTTATTTCACTGTTGTGGAGACGGGCCCTGTACCCTGGGGCCCTCCCTTAGACAAATTATAGACAGGACTAGAGCTGGACCAAGAGCCACAGACCATCCCACGGGAAGCTCCCTGCTCCATCCCTCTAGGGGCAGAGAAATCTGGGGAGCAACAAGTCTAGGCTGAGGTAAAGGCATTTGCCTGCCTCGGGGGCCCCCATGAGGGGGTGGGCTATTTTAATGAAGGAGAAATCTGGCCAAAGTCACTTAAACACTAGCCCCAAAGTAACCCAAGCTGTTTATTTAAACAAACTTTTGTTATGAACACTGTGGTCCGTACATGGAAGAACAAACAGGAGATTTCACTAGATACCTAGCACAGATTTGATTTTTTTTTTTAAAACAGCTACAGGCCCCCAGCAGGAGTTTGTGTTTTAATTGCGTAATATCAGATTTTACCTCTGTTTTTGCTGGAGGTCTCCTTTTAGGATACAGATGGATTGGGAGCTTTGTCAGCCATTACTTGAAGAGGGAAGAGCATTAAACAATTGGAACAAAGATTTATTAGTTAAATAAGTTCATAGTTCAATATGCATTAATACAAACCAGGGTTTTAAATGTTCTGAATAAAAAAGACTTACTCTGTAAGATGACAATCGCATGTCAAACCAACCCCCCGACACTGGTACTTGTATCCTATTTGAGGGTTGGCAGATGGTTCAGACAAAACAGGATGAATGAAGTTGGCAGATACCAAACCTGAAAATGCTTTAAACCTACTTCCCATGTATTGTGTGCAGCTGTGTCTCTGTGATGTTGTTGACATGAACTGTGACTGTATAGATTATTGCAACCAAGGTCATATAGTGGCACCAAATTTTGTACAAAGGAGGTTAAGTAAAATGTCTATGACAAGGTTATGATTATGCTATCTGTTTGCATGTATCATTTTTGTATTTAAAGTTATAAGTATTGGCTCTATACTGTCTGTATTTTAAACTTGTGCTATACAGTTTGGTCCAAACTTGTGCTATGCAATCCCAGACAACGTGGCATCAGCTCTGCCTAGCCTGCTTGATGGCCCATTGAGGACCATCAGCTACACAAGTGACCCATTGAGAGAAGGCAGACACCCCTGGGGACTCAGCCAGGCAGGCAGGGACATGCCTGTGGACAGAACTCTGAGGTTTTTCCAGGCCATGTGCTGGGTGGCTTGTGATTGGAACAAAGGGAGCCCAGGCCACATGGCAAGAGACTATAAAAGGCAGCTGCATCATCTCCATTTTGTCTTCAGTCCTGCTTCTTACCTCTGGAGGACTTTGCTACAAACTGAAGCTCTGAACAAAGGACTGAATGACCCATCCCAGATGTGGATGTTCTCCAGAGACTTGATTTGAACCTGCAGTTTATTCTGTCACTGCTGCAAGCCTGAACCAAGAACTTGGCCATTGCTGTATGTAATTGATTCCATTTAACCAGTTTTAGCTCTCATCTATATTTCTTTCTTTTTATGAGTAAACCTTTAGAGCTGTAGCTCACGAAAGCTTATGCTCAAATAAATTTGTTAGTCTCTAAGGTGCCACAAGTCCTCCTTTCCTTTAGATTTTAGATTCGAAAGGATTGGCAACAGCGTGATTTGTGGGTAAGATCTGATTTGTATATTGACCTGGGTCTGGGGCTTGGTCCTTTGGGATCGAGGGAACCTTTGTTCTTTTACTGGGGTATTGGTTTTCACAACCATTCGCCCCCATAAGGAGCGGTGCTGGTGATGATACTGGGAAACTGGAGTGTCTAAGGGAATTGCTTGTATGACTTGTGGTTAGCCAGTGGGGTGAGACCGAAGTCCTCTCTGTTTGGCTGGTTTGGTTTGCCTTAATAGTAAAGGAAACCCAGCCTTGGGCTGTGACTGCCCCGCTCTAAGCAATTTGTCCTGAATTGATACTCTCAGTTGTGTCCCGCCAGAGGCAGCATAGTTACAGTCTCTACTTCCTTTCCGCCTGGCTCTGAGTGGCTCAGAAGCACAGGAATCAGTGACAAATGTTAACCCAACGCTCCAAAGGCTTTCTTGTAAAAAGCATGATCCTTTCCCCTTCCCTTCCTCCAAACTCTCAAATACTGCATGTATACGAAGATCACAACACATTTAATATTCAGCTGAAACCCCTCCTCCACCAAAAAGAAGTAGAATGAAGGGCTGCAGCAATCCCATACTCAGTCAAAAATTTGTATATGATAGCTAATAGCTAACCCGTTGAGCCCTGTCCACTGTATCTCTACAGTTCCCTAAAGTGGACATATTGCTAAGATCAAGTTAAAAATTACTTAGACAAGTTAGATGTCTGCAAGTCACCAGGGCCTGATGAAATACATCTGAGAATACTCAAGGATCTGACTGAGGAGATATCTGAGCCATTAGCAATTATCTTCAAAAAGTCCTGGAAGATGGGAGATGTTCCGGAAGACAGGAAAAGAGCAAATATGGTGCCCATCTATAAAAAGGGGAATAAGGACAACCCAGGGAATTACAGACCAGTCAGCTTAACTTCTGTGCCCGGAAAGATAATGGAGCAAATAATTAAGCAATCAATGTGCGAACACCTAGAAGATAATAAGGTGATAAGAAACAGTCAGCATGGATTTGTCAAGAACAAATTGTGTCAAACCAAGCTGATAGCTTTCTGTGACAGGGTAACAAGCCTTGTGGATAGGGGGGAAGCGGTAGATGTGGTATATCTTGACTTTAGTAAAGCTTTTGTTACTGTCTCACACGACCTTTTAAAATCACTGTATGTATGTATTACAGGGATTACATAAAGTATGTAATCCCTGTAAACAAACTAGGGAAATGCAACCTAGATGGAGCTACTATAAGGTGGGTGCATAACTGGTTGGAAAACCATTCCCAGAGAGGAGTTATCAGTGGTTCACAGTCATGCTGGAAGGGCCTAACAAGTGGGCTCCCGCAGGGATCGGTTCTGGGTCCGGTTCTGTTCAATATCTTCATCAATGATTTAGATAATGGCATAGAGAGTACACTTATAAAGCTTGCGGATGATACCAAGCTGGGAGGGGTTGCAAGTGCTTTGGAGGACAGTATTAAAATTCAAAATATCTGGACAGACTGGAGAAATGGTCTGAAGTAAATAGGATGAAATTCAATAAGGACAAATGCAAAGTACTTCACTTAGGAAGGAACAATCAGTTGCACACATACAAAATGGGAAATGACTGCCTAGGAAGGAGTACTGTGGAAAGGGATCTGGCAGTCATATGGATCACAAGCTAAATAAATATGAGTCAACAGTGTAACAATGTTGCAAAAAAAGCAAACATCATTCTGGTCTCTATTAGTAGGAGTGTTGTAAACAAGACACAAGAAGTAATTCTTCCACTCTACTCTGTGCTGATTAGGCCTCAACTGGAGTATTATGTCCAGTTCTGGGTGCCACATTTCAAGAAAGATGTGGAGAAATTGAAGAGAGTCCAGAAAAAAGCAACAAAATTGACAAAAGGTCTAGAAAATATGAGCTACGGGGGAAGATTGAAAACACTGGGCTTGTTTAGTCTGGAGAAGAGAAGACTGAGAGGGGACATAA